TGCGACTTGTGACTTGTAGACAATTTGAAACGCTATGCTTCGGCCGACGTGGTGTTGCGTCATCAGCAGATGTCGAGCAATGGCTGAGGACGGAGTTTTGTAGTTTCGACCGTCGTTTCTATGCGGCGGATGTCGAATTGTTTCTATTTGCGTGATGGTCTTCTTAAGGAATGTAATTTTTCTCTAATTGAGTTTCTTTTCACGATTGTGAGATTGCAGTGTAAACACACTAAGGGACAACGTTCACGTTTTTCTTTCCATCGAATCTACTGACCGTAGTATACGTGTATCATGCACGGCTAGGATAGGCCGAATCGAGAATAATAAAACGAACTTGAACCTCGACCGATTTCGACTTGTTCGTACTCTACCTTATCTGTGAGTGAGACAGGCAAAATCCAATATGGGGTTCATTGTTTAGAGAAGTTTAGAGAAATTTTAGTGCGATGGACGTGTTTATGATAACCAACAAAGAGCACTGGACAGCTGTTTCGTCCTGTTTGGGACTCGTCAGCAGTGCGTACTTTTTGTGTCCCTGTCGTATTAAAATGCAAACAAACAGTGGGGAAGTAAAGACCTCCTAAGGAGTGAAATCCACATCGAACATCATCAACAGTGCCTGGTGCCTGTGAAAAATCGAATGGGCTAATTCAGACATTCACCATCTAAAGTTTAGAGAAAAGCTATATATAATAAGTGAAAACTACTGATTTGTAGAGAAAGCAGAAATGTATATTTGTAGGGATGTGGAGTTTAGTGGCACTCATGCGCAACATTTCTTTTTGGTTCAATCACAAATAAACAAAAATTTGTACATATATATGTCACCTGCCCTATGCAGTTAATAGGAAGAATGAAATAGTCATTCTCATCTCAAATTATCCCTGTAGAACAAATGAAACGTTTGGGATGATTCATTTCTTTCAACAACGAAATCAGACTGGTTAATCACGGACGATGCATACTAGGAATCGTACTTGCAAACGCTTGTGTAATACAAAATCAATGATGGAAAATAGAATTTTCAGCGTCAGAAAAGAATGAAAACAGTTGGGCGGTGGCAACCCGGTGGTAACAACACCAATTTATCACTGGGGTGGTGTGTGTTCGAATCCCACCACCACCTAACTTTCCCCACTGTGTTAAATGGCATTCCTTTGATTGGCCACTTCCCCTTCCTGAAGATTGTATCTTTGTTTATGCAATAAAAGGAAATAAAATGAAAAAAATAAAATAAAATCTACATACTAGATCTCAGGAAATGCCGTAAAAATGGTAGAATAGTAGGAAAGTACAATTAACTCACTTTCATGGGGGAAATTTGCCATGTAGATCAAATGAAGTGTGAACTGAAAAGTTAGGAAGCATTAGAAAGCTGTTTCGACCTGGTTGGGTCTAATTGGCACTGCAAATCCTTGAACTCAATTTGGGATCGAACCGGGGACCTCACAGGCAGAACAGAAGCGTACTACCCTCTCGGTCCCCGGGAAGCTGATCAGACTGTCTTTTTTATTTTTCATATACACGATATAGCACAACCCATCTTTGCGAGCTTGTTTCAGGCATCGTGCCTCGCTCAACCTGACTACTTGTTGCATAACAGTTTAAGCACAGTGAGAGATTTNACACCAGACAACAACCATCCAGATCATGATAGCTCGCATAGAATCAGTGTTTATTTAATCCACTCCGGGTTGTATAATCAGAATGACGAATTGCTCGTTCCATTCATGTTCATCATTGACCCTACACGATACTGGTGGATGTTCAGATTGAATCACTTTTACTGGGGACAAAAACACTGCACAGAGCTTACCGCGTATATACGGGTGCGTGGCATGCGCATGAATTTCCTTTATCTGACATGACTAATCACCACCGGCTGAAAGAGAGTTATTAAGTTTTGCCAGTTATCTCAGTAACCTGTATTTTGCTTTGCTTTTTGACTCTCCCTTTCCCCTAAATGCATTCTGGGCTGCAGCGACACACCGACACAGTCGACAGTGTGTCTGTGTGTATGTCTCAAGTACATGTTTCATATGGTAACACAATTTGGAAAATTGTGGGAGTGACTTTATGCAATGAATTGTTTTCCCTGATCAGAATTCCCATTGATTTCATTTTCCATCAAAGTAGGCCTCGGAAACCCGGTTGTTTGTTAGCTGATTTAATAAAGTTACAAAATATTCCTCATAATCTGCCCGGAAATAACCGGTTCCAGAACTCATTGTCATCTAAGCGTCAACATTGTTTGCTAAGATATTGAGGCAAATGTGCCAACCTGCAACTAACCTGTCTGACTGTCTAAAGTTGGGAGGGATGTATGTAAGGTAAAAAATATTTCCAATGCGGAAACTTGTTTCGGAATATGAACCAATCAATTTCAAATAAACTAATGATAATTATCACTTGGTGAATTTTATCGTGTAACGAGCAAATGAAGCACGAACTGAAAAGCTATGAATCACTGTAATGATTTTTACATCTAATTGCGTCTCATCAACAGTGCAAGTCCAACGACCCAACTAGGGATCGAACCCAGGAAATCACGAGTAGAATGTAAGCATACTACTACCGGTGCTAGGTGCGAGGCCTGCCTTAAGCTGGCAAAGACCGGTGTGCCATTTGGTGTATAAGGGAAGGAAAAAACCAGCTGACTGATGGCCAAGTATGCTTGCATTCTACCCATTTGGGTCGACTGATTCAAACCCAATGAGGTCGAAACGGCTGTACAGTGTGCTTCCTAGCTTTTCCGTTCCCGTTTCGTTTGCTCTTTGCACGACAAAATCCATCAAATGAAAAAACAAAATTCTCCGTTACTTTCATGTTTTGATAATTATGTTCATTTTGATTCTTGTCAACGTTTTATTCAATGTCAACTCATCAAACAATCAATTCGTTATTTATTTCATGTAGCCGACTCAATCGATCACGTCTAATGAACTTGATAAAAGAAGTATTTCGGACACATCATTTCATATAAAGTCGTGGTTCGATGCAACATGGTACACTGTTCACCGCGAGACAGGTCATGAAACGCACTGTTTTGTTTTCCAATTAAGGCTGGCGATTTGCTCATGCTGGAGGATGTCGTGGACGAGGCATGGTATCGTGGGCATTCCGTACGAACTGGTCAAGTGGGGATCTTTCCTATGAATCACGTGGAAGTGAAAATTGCACTGTCAACCGGTCTGTACACAAACGCCCAACCAAAACCAAGGATTCGCGCAATATCAGATCTGAAAGATTCGGGAAAGAAAACCCCTATTACTCAAGCAACAGAACCGAATCGAATCGTTTCTAACGAGAATCGAATTCAGGTATTTGGTTGTGTGTGCGCCCTTCTAACTTGTCCGTGTTTGTAGAATATTGTACGAGAGACCCACGTGCTTAAACAGCCTAACTCAGTCATTGTTCTTCATATGTTTCCTCACACGTGGACACACACTTACTGACGCTAGATTTCATCTCATAATCACAGTATCCCCCCTTCCGAGATTATGTCATTCCTCACGAAGTTCAACAACTTCATATTTCGGTTGACCGTACAATGCTTGCCCAATCACGGAGGTGATTGGAATCTTGGAGACACTCATCAGCTGGTGTGTGTGTTTGACCTGTAAAACAGAAATTGCATTTTCACAACAATCACGCTCGCATAGATAGAGCAAACATTTGGTTATCATTTCCCCATGGAAAATCGCATAACAAACTAATAAAGAACAGTGTCACATTACTAATCATCTGACTTGGATCCGCCACATACGTTCAACGCGACTTGTTGTGGAAACTTAGAAAGTTTCATTATAGTCCAGAATTGGTGAATTCCCGGTCACAAATTCACTTATAGCTTTTGCTATGCAGTTTTCAATCCGAATAAAATCACCGTGTGCAATTCGCATAGCACAATGGACAAAATCGTTCGATCAATATTACTTTGTGTATTTCGTTTTGTTTTGTTGTACGGGAATACCAACATGTGGTGGTGATACATGCGTTCATCAAAGAAAAAGAAAGAAATCCTCGGGGTGCACATAAAGAGTGCTTCCACTTGAACACTAGGACTAATCGTCTTGAGAATGGTGAATACGTATCCAGGACCGAAGCAAACTTAAAGACATGTTTGAACATGCTTTCAACATTTGAACAACCAATGAAAGTTTGTCAGTTTCCACCCACGCAACCGAGCACATGGTTTGTGAAACACATTTGTAGATTTTCTGACCAATTCGATGACCTGTTCAAACTCCATGACTGACAATATTTTTCAAAGCGAAAACAACAAATTCATGACTGCATTCGTCATAGTATTGCCACGACCGAGACCATACAAGTGCTTCGCCTGAGTAAACCATCAGTTTGAGTGAATGGAATGATTGCTTGCTGTATTGCATTTTGATTTTGTCTCCAGACAAATGACAATCTTTTCCCAGCAAACGACCTGAGTTTTCTCCCAAGACGTCCATCTCGTGTACGAGTATCTAGTCTTCGATGCAAGTATGATATGACGGTAAGTGGCTGTAGACCTGATGCTCTGTGATACAATTCGCTAGTTAGTCGCTCAGCAGCCACGCAACCTGACACGCGCCTTTAACACTAGTCTATCCCCTCAAGTGTTACTTTATTGCGTTTAATGCATTTAGAACCACTGATGTATTGATCGCTTTCGGGGCATGTTTTCTCACAGTATTTATTGATCAGTGCTTGGTGAAAAACTAATTTGCCACGAATGGGAGCTTGCAACTTGTGTTTGTGAAATGTCATTTACAATCAATTATGAGTTTTAATCTCTTTTGCAATCGTGTTTCTAATGTTCAAAATGACGGGTCGGAAAAGGCTGATTTGACTCCGATCCACAATGAGATCGACTTCTGTTCCCACTCTGGATTTTTGACGAATGAGAGAAAGAGAGCCAGAGAACGGGTGCACCGCTTGGGGCCCGGACAACAGAAAATGGAAATTTAAAAAAAACATGCTTTGTATTAGTTCTTTTCTTTTCATATATTGTATTAGCGAAAAATCACTCACACGCTTGATTCGCATTACATTACAGAAATTCCACAAAGATGATACAGTTCTCGCCCGGATGAGTGCCCCGTTTGGAACAACACATCCGTCTGGCCTTCGTCGATCACAAACACAGGTGTGTTTAAATGTCTTTGCGGCACTATGTAAACCAAAGGCATTCGTAAAAACTCGAATATACCAAATGGATTTGTGTCTACTGTTTTGGGCATGTCGGATTCAGCCACTAAGATGTGATAGTATGTACGCACAAGGTCTGTTTGGGACAAATTTATTTTGCATAAAGGGTGAGGGCGAGGCCATGTATGTATGGAACGGGATATCTGTCGGGTGTGGTGGAGTTGTTGAGTGATCTGTAGTCGGCGCAAGGACGCCGATCTTCAGGAGTTTCTTGGATAACATGCAGTGGGGAAGACCAAGGGTAGTTGAATGGACGAAAGACACCAAGCTGGAGCATGTGGTCGAACTCTACACGAGACGTAATCAACTTCTCAGGTATGAGTTGGTGGTGTCTGGCGGTGACGGGCTGCCCCTTTGGTGATGATGGTGTGGCTCACCACGTGAGTAGCGCTTATAGGTTCGTATGAGGGCTGTATCGAATCTGGTAATTCACGAAGAATATCGGAAAAGACGGATGACTCGAGTTTGGAGTCCCATGGAACAGATGCGTGTGGCACAAGCACGGACAGATAATGAAGTGAAAGCGTCGAGTCGTTTCTGTTGCTTGGCATCAACAGCGAGACCAAAATTAGACAAAAGAGCAACATGAATGCTGGAAGTATGGACATCAGTGATATTGAAAATCCACCTGAATCGTCGACTTAAACCAAGATCGCCAGTGGTGGTGCGAAGGCCTAAAGTTTCAATGCGACTACCATTGGCTGTTTGTAGGGTAACAGCGGTTGGTTGAAGGTGGTGTTCGTGTGCTGTACGGGAAATTACGTTCACTTTGTCTTCAGTGTCGATCAAAAATAAGATATCAGTTATTCGTTATTAACTGAAGAGCAGACGACTCGAGAGGATACCGGATACAGGCACCGTCATTAGTGTTCGACTTTTGGGTTTCCCTGTGAGGTGAACGAGCAGAGTGGGATACTCTTCTTGGCTTTAGAGTCAAACGGTTTTTGAAACCAGCAGTATTGTGGATTGGAGTTGGCTCTTTGGTGGTTTCTACCGGTCTGTGAGGTCGAGCGAGTTCGACTTCGATGGCGGCTGGATTACCGCGAGCGAAAGAAGTGAAAAACCAACTGCTGCATCCTCAGTTCGAGGTTTCTCATGCTCGAAGTGAGTTCATCGCAGCTAG